ATACATTTCTATTTATACTATATTCTAGATCATTTTAATTCTACACTGAACTATCATTTTTAAATCACGGCTCCCTTGTAAAACAAATGTGATAATTTGAAGGAATCCCGTGTATAAATAAAGAACAGTTCAGTTCAGTTCAGTTCCTTCTCTCTAACACTATCTCTTTCCCTCCCTCCCTCCCTCACCCACCCACTCATTCTCACTCCCTCAATCTGTTCTTCCCTAACCCACCCACTTTCTCATTTTCTCTCCTTTCTTCCCTCCCTCTCTCTCTCTCCCTTGCGCCCTCAGCCACTCATTCTTTCTTTCACACTCCAGGTGGCGTATCGTTGTAAAACAAATAACCTCGACGATACGGAAACAATAGCAAACGGGATGACGACCGTACGCGCATCATTTGACGTCACAAGCACGTGTCGTCCAGTCAATCCACATCCCCCACAACCAGCACCGAGGGTCGAAAACACTCTACAGCCAACGTCGACCAAAGCCGCCGTACAATTCTCATATCAGAATGGAATTGATGATGCACCAAGCGAATCTCCTAAATCTTCAAGCCATTTGAGTAAGCGCGAAGTATAGATATAGTATTAAATAATAATAATAATAATAATAAATGATAATTATGATATAATATATAGTGTACTTATAATATATTATCATCACAATGCTAGAACATAGTGTCAAAGGTCAATAGTCCCCTTCACAGTTCCCTGCGCCATCTTGAAAGGTAGCCGTGCCTTTGCATCGAAACGAGACGAACGGTGAGCTTGCAATGATAGACACCTTTTTTAACGCCTTGAACAATGATTCACATGTCTCTGTCATTGCAAGCTCACCATTCGTCTTGCTTCGATGCAAAGGCACAGCTACCTTTCAAGATGGCGCAGGGAACTGTAAAGGGGACTATTTGGGAGATTTTTTAAAAACTGGCCTTCGACCAAGTGCTTGGTGCCCGAGCAAGTCATAGGGATCTACGACGGTCAACCAGAAGTGTAAATAATTTCACTTTTGGGTCTCGCACCTTCAAAGTCTGTCTTCCTTGTGGATGATTTGACTTTCCTGGCAATTTCTTGAGTGAAATCTCCAATAAACAGAACCCAAAAAATAAATTATTTAAACTTCCGGTGGACGTCGCCATCGTAGATTTTGCAGTCTCTTTTAGACAGTTACTGGACGGGCTGAAAGACAGTCACGTGTTACTTGCCGCAGAGCAAATAGCCCGCGTAGCGGCTCTAGGGGATTGGTGACGAGTGAAAAGGGAAGGGGAGAGGGGGAAAACCAAGGGGATGAGTGGAGGCTCTCCTTTCTCTCTTCCCCCTTCCCTTTTCACTCTTCCCCAATCCCCTAAAGCCGCCACGCGGGCTAGAGACCAAAAGAAGCGGGCTCTAGGAACAAGATTACGTCTTGGAGGCCTAGTTGATAATGAAATACTTTTCCAATTGACAGTCTGTTAATGAAGTATGTATATATTCTAAGAATACGTCAAGTGTAAATAACTACATTTATTTACCATTGATAGAAACGAGTGAGAGATTGAGTGGGTAATTTGTCGCGCGAATACCGGGCAGATCGTTTGGGTACACGGTTACCATAGTGACTTTAGAATACAAGAGTCTCGAGAAAGTGCTTGCCCAGGCCTCCCGCCATAAGCTAGTACCCGGTTTCACACKCGTTGTTATCAAGTGCAATATATAGAGCGCCAAAAAACCTTGTGAAACGAGAAGCGCAAGAATTTCAATGGTGAGCGTTGAGCTCTATTTTTCTCTAACCATGTCTTAGAGTTGCGATTGGAAAACGCGTATCAGTGGAAAACGTCAGATATTGACTGACAGCACCTAGCATTAAAATGGCTTTCCAATGTTTTTCTAGTAATTAATTAACCAATCACAACTTGTGGTTGCGGTTACGGAAAGATACGACACGTTAATCAGAAGTCCAATCAAGAAGTTTCTTATCTTATACTTGTAACATAGAAAGGTAGAATGTTTCACGAGGCTTTGAAGTAGAGTAACACAATACAGTCCTTTGACTAAACTTTGTCGTTGATCGGATCATCCCTACGCGCCTAGACCGAAAAAGGATAACGGGTAAATTACCCAGAACTTGTGTCATCCAAACTACTCGCCAGTTTAAATCTTCGCCCAATGCTCGAGGCATGGTTTCAGCAAATTAAATGGGATCAAAAAAAAGCGAGCTCAAGACGTGTTAGATAACATATGCGGCAGCTAGTAACTGTGAATTAATTATCCCCATGATCCTTTTCTGTCTAGGCGCGTAGGGATGAAGCTGATCAAACGACAACGTTTAGTCAAAGGACTGTATTCGAAGCATTTCAATAGCTCGATCTCTGAGGGGGAGGTGGTATTTTAAAGTCTTCACTTACTCTACCACTTAATGATCAATAACATTGGGGCCCTACCTTGTACTGTTGTTTTGGCCTCGTCCCTAAGAGATGTGCCCTTTCTTTAATTAAGGGGGGTAAAAACACCTCCCTTCATCTCTTCCCCCGAAATCACCACCTATTACCCTCCTCCACATAGCAACAGTCAACATTATCAATGATCTGTTTTGGGATAATAGTCCAGTTTCGAGTTCCAAATTACCGCTGTCTTTCTTGATTATAGACTCATTTACTCGGGCTAAGCCTCAAATCAGTGTCTAATTACTCGCAAATACCAACGGTAAAGTAAAGAATGCACAACTTCAACAATGTGAACACTTTGAAACTTGACGGACCTTGAGTAGAATACGTGAATATTCTTCACAAAATCGAGGCTAAGCCTGAGTAAATGAATGTATAATCAAGAAACACAGCGGTAATTTGGAACTCGAAAAGAGTCTATTGTGCTATCAGGTCACGTGATCCCTGTCTGCCATGTATAAATAACATGTTGTATTACGACGCGCTAAGAACTGTAACTGGTTTTTWAAAAATCCTGAATTATTCTTGTACAGTATATTTATTTTCGCTTTGCAAAGTAAGAGGCAGGATTTACTTTCAAAGAATGCATTAACTTTTATTAAAAGCGAAGTGTGTTAATATCGAAAAGAAAAAATATTATGAACATATGTAAAACTAAAATAGTAAAAAAGGATATATATTCTGAAAGAAAAGTGTTGGTCGTAATCATCCCTGACCACTTGTTGAGTTGTATTTAGAAAAAAAGCAAAAAAAAAAAAATTATTTGATAAATCGTCATTTTTTCCCAACATGGCGGCTATGACGTCACACTAAGTTAATGAAACTAAACGAGGGACTTCCTTTATCAAAATGTTTTGATGCATGCCTTTTTCTTATCTATCGCGCCTTTTTTAAAAGACACAAAAGTAAATAGAAGGGCTTTTTCGAATTCAAAAACGATATTGCCAAATTGATAACAATATGCAATTTAAAAAAAGAAAAATCTTATCTCGATATGATGGGTTTTGAATTAATTCACCGATCAGAAATTTAAAAAAAAACGACTCCACTTTGCCATACCCCCGAGACATCCGCAGAGCTGAGGCGGCGTATGGACTTCGGACCTGACGGCGATTAAATCCTTCTGCCCTTGGGTTCACGAATTACGCAAGAAAATGTTCTAGCCGAAGCTTCAGGGGAGAGACCAGCCGGCCCCCAGACCATATCGGCTAATCCCTTGCATCTCTGCCACGCACGGAATCGGTTGAAAGTATAATGTTAAAAAGTCTAGTCTATTCAGTACATTGTTTTCACGGCTATTGTTATGCTGATTCACCTGAAACCGTGATCCAGTGGATAGATCGTTGTCGCTCAAGATACTGAGTCAAGCTCGTCTGAGGAGGGTTAGCACTTGGATGGGTGACCTAAACATTATACCTACTCACGCTTTTGTTCCTTTTTTCCGTTTTTCTTTTCTTTTCTTTTTTTCTTTTCTTTTCTTTTCTTTTTTTTCTTTTTTCTTTTAAAAATAATAGAATATAGACTGTGAAACTTTCTATTTTTGAATCCGTCAAATTGAAATCTAGCTAGCAGAGGAAAATCCTTTGGGGGAGGGGGAGAGAAACTGCTGCCCATTCAGTATTTTCATATAGGAGCGCTAAATGACCACCGGCAGCCGGGATATACTCCTAGTTCAGGTAAGGGATATTTAAAAGTATCCTTGACCATATTTAAGAGTATCCTTGACCATATTTAAGAGTATCCTTGACCATATTTAAGAGTATCCTTTTTTCAAATGACCATATTTAAGAGTGCCCTATTTTTAACTGAACATATTGAAGGGTTTCCTTGACCATATTTAAGAGTATGTATACGACGCTTCAGCATTTAAGGTCTAGGAGTATGATCTCCCGTTATTTTTAGTTCGATATCTTGAGAAAAAGACTACATCCCGGGCGTAGAGTGCACCTCACGGCCCCCTCACAGCCTAAATTACATACATTTACTGTATTTTATGGTCTCCTTCTCCGCCCGGGATGTAGTCTTCAATTCCCCCATATGTATCTTCGCTTCACATTGAAACCCATTTGAGCCATTTTTTTCAATCCATACCAATTCTCACATGAACAAATAAGAAGAAATAGAATCTTTATGACTGTAAAAAATTGAAAGTACAAATTAATCCAGCTAGTGTTGGAATCGCTTCCTCTCCGTTACATAGCTAAAAACTGTTTTCCCCGCTCGCGACTTTTCAGCTTGTTTTGAGCGGATAGAAATTAAGTTTAGAACTAGAGTAGGTACATGGGACGTGCCTTGCTGTGTCTTTAAGGGTGTATGGACAATATACTGGCTTAATGGGACAGTAAAGAAGAAGAAAAATAACAAAATATATATATTTAGGCACTGCCTAAAAGCGGAGCTCCGGCGAATTTGAATGAAACTGGAAGGTAAAAATAAGACCGGGGGAAAAAATCTTCAATTATTTCTTATTCGAGATGAAGATAATTTCTCCCATAGTAAAAACCATGCAGTGAAATCGAATCGAAATGCTCTACATTTTTTTTCGTTTTTTTCTTTATTTATTTTTTTTTTTGGCGCGAGTAGACTCTTCCCACTAAGGAATTTTGTACACAACTCACCACCACCCCCAGGGGCTAGTTTTGTTCTTAAAAGATTCTTCGACAAAGTTTTTCAAGACCGACGGTTTTAAACTTTTTACTTAAAAAAAAAACGAAAGATAACTACAGATAATCCAATACAATATCAAGTTTAGTGAAATTTACCTCGCATGTCTTTTATGGAAATCGAAAATCTGGAGATTTAGGGCAAATCAAGACTAAAAACCACACTTGAAATCTGGCGGTTAAGGTGAGCAAAAAATAAGGTTTACTTAGGTCTTTACAGTTTTCCAAAAGCAAAGCTTACATTCATTTAAACTTGACAAGAACAACTGAGACAAAATAGAAAATAATGCAAAAGGCATTGCAAAATACAAAATGACTAATTTCTTTGTAAGTAAATTGGCATTTGTAAATGTTTTTGAATATTTTTTAGCTTTTTAAAGTGAAAGTCTAGGTCTTTATACAATAACATCTCTCAACAGCACAAATTTAAGCTCATTTTTATAACCATACTTGCTCGAACAGCTTAATAAACAGTTGAATATTTGGTAAAAATTTATATTTCATTCAAAAATAAATAAATTATCAGTAGGAAGATATAAATTATTGTAATGAAAGTCTTCTTTTCTTTGCCGATCGGACCCCGCGATAGGAGGCGAGCAAAGCTGCATTTTTTTGAACAAAAAACATACCATAGTTGGTTAAAAACRACCGAATTGTTAAAGATTTACAAAGCTAAATAATGGACGAATATTTGTTGTCGTAATATGCTCTCCGTGTTATATTTCCTCCAACATTAAAATGAATTAAGCTTATCTATAGAAATATAAAAAGTTTTGAGAGAAAGTCTTTGATTTGTCGATTCGTCGAGAAAAATGCTTCTCAAAAATAATAATATACGATCGTTTGCTAAAAAAAACATACCTGAATTCTTGAAGAACACTTTTTGATTCATCTTTGACTACATGAAAGTATTTCTTTAATTGTTTTTGGTTTATAACTTGTCCTAAAGCGATTTTTTCTGTGCATTTGAGAGCCGCATTTGTGATTAATTTTGCTTTGACATCAAGCGGGGTTCCTGTGTTGTGTACACGGATGGACGGACGGACGGACGGACGTACGGACGTACGGACGGAAGTGACGTCAGCCAAGCCATGAAAAATCATCTCGATGGTTTACCATTTTTTCTTAAGTATGGTGCTCCGCGCGAGAGCTCCGCTATAATGTGACAGTAACGAAAAAAAACAATAAGAAAATATAATCCCTGAACATGATTTAGGAGTAACCCTTACCTTATTTAGGAGAGTATCCCTTATTACCTGACTAGGAGTATCCCTTACCTGAGACGTGGGCTTACAATGAACCGTATTTGATCCTGAGATTAGTCGTACTTTCGAGCTTGACTTTTTGTTTCATAGCGATCGAGATAACGCACAATTGCGCCTTGCGTGGCAATTTTAGTTGCGTCAATGACGTGAAAGTTTCTGTTATCGAGATACAATGTCTCTAATAAGCTTCATCTCAATCTTGTCTTCCTCGCTTCGTCCATGATGACTGTAGCGGTTAGAAATCCATCCTAATCTCTCCTAATCAGCCTCGAGTTCGTGTGCAATTATTTTTTGATACAACCAATATGAAGTATAAAGAATAACAGGGTTGGCTTGTGATTGAATCGGTGTGTTTTGAGAAAAAGACTACATYCCGGGCGGAGAGTGCATCTCACGGCCCCCTCACAGCCTAAATTACATACATTTACTGTATTTTATGGGCTCCTTCTCCGCCCGGGATATAGCCTTAARACTTTATCTATATCTTGAACGATTTAGATTTAAGACCATTTGGGAGCCGATTTTTTCCAATTTCTACCAACTCTGGTATGAAAAAGTCATAAAGAGTAGAATGTATATACTGTAATAAAAAAAAAACATTCCAGATACGCAAAACTGTTTATTTTATTTTAAAAGGGCAGAACCTGCAAATATTTTAATATCATGTAGAGGAGATCATTTTAGACAAGTTAAGCGAAATCATTCTTTTCTGTGAGCCATTCCATTATCTTTTGACTAACATTGCAACGAAGCTTCTGTGCATGATACAAGCAACCCAGCAGTGAACGTCTGTAGGGCGTCTTGTTAATATGTAGCGCTCTCTTCGTCTATCATATAATCCGTCATAACCACCATCTTGGTCGACGATAAAAAAGCATTCCTCGTTAGATTCTCTTGTTAGATTAGCCAACATGGTGGTTGTTTTATTGTTATTCGTATCTCAAGAGATTTGAGTCACATAGTTGCACACAAAATATAACATTTTTWAAATCCTATGATAAACGATCCGCGTTAATCCAGCATTCCACTTTTATCATTCCAAACTTTATTTAGAACTAAGCGAGGTTCAGAATCCAAGATGGCGGAGTGRAAAATGGCGACGTCCATGATGAGTGCTTTACAGGTTGGTGTTGATATTCATTATTATTCCTGCTATTGTGTGAATTTGTATTCAGTAAGGTTTCCCTAGGCAACCAAGAAGTAAATAAACCTGGATCTTTTGTTCAAAATGTAAATTTGATAATATTGTGAGGTTTTTATTATACGCAATTGTAGTTTAGAATCTGTCGAGTAAAGCTATAATCTCCTTTCAATCTTAAAGTTTTTCTTCGTAGTTGTTTACTTGCTAGTTTTTAGACTTATGGGTTCAGGGAACTCAAGACCTTGGAAATTTTCTAAGCCAAATCATACAAATCCTACCTTAATAACTCAGAATAACAGCGCTCAATTTGACGACCCTTTTTCGCCCAACAACAACGGGAAAAAACCTTTTCTTTCCTTTTCTGAAGCTACAGCTCTGAGGCCTTCAAGTCTTGAAAACATGTGGGCGATTGTAAAGAAGACTTGTGCAGAAGACAGTGCGTGGAAGCTGAAGTCCGTTCAAAGTAGAAGAGGATGGAAAACCATTCGTCTCTTCGTGTCTTCTACTTTTAAAGACTTTCATGCCGAAAGAGAAGTGTTAGTCAAAGAGGTAAGGCTTCCTTTTTGATCTACAATTAAAGTTATCTGCTAATAGCGTAAAGTTTATTTGATCTCTTTTATAAGTTTATTTATTGAAGTTTTCATGCAAACATTTATTAAAAACTTCAAATTAAAAATTTATAAAATAAGCTTATTCACACTGTTGTCATTGGCCTATTTTGAGCCACGTCAAAATATTTAATTCTACCCAGACCGAAGGGTTCGTCATTTCCGGTCTTAAGTATAGTTGGTTTGTATAGGGTTACATTCRACCTCGTGTGTAGCCTCAGTTGTATATCTTAGCCTTCGGTATAAAGTAAGCTTATTCACACTGTTGTCATTGCTATATGTTCATTCAGACAATGGCAGTCTTGCACAGAGAAATCAGGCAATTGCAACACTGCCGTCAATCAAACAAATGTGGTACCAATTTACATACTCTGATTTACAGCAGGGTATTGCAGTTTTCGTATGACTGTGATAAGCTCAGTGCCATGCCATGACCGTGATGTTTTCTAGAATTTTAATTGGCTGATATTTTTCTCGTGCAATGTGATTGGTCTGATAGTGCCATGACTTTTGGCGTACCATGTCCGTGCCGTGTTTATGCCATGTTCTGGGTATTTGATTGGATGGAGAGTGAATTCTTGAGCAATGTGATAAGTCTGGTGTATCCGGCCTAGCCGTGTCAAGAACGTGTTCGTGCAGTGAGCTTTTCACAGTCATGCAAAAACTGCTCTATGCCGCAACTGTACTGTTGTCTCAACCATTACAGTGACAATTAAAATATTGGTAAATTATGAGCTATTTTAGATTTTTGTTTTCTCAAGCTTAATATTTGGTTATTTTTAGGAAATTGTATGTATTGAATCAATATAATTAATTATTTTGTTGTCGATTAAAAATATATTATTCATTACTAACAATTCATTTTTGAAGTAGTAGCAGGTGAAGGAATATTGTTAGTCATCTTTGTTTTTATAGCTTTAATCATTTATTTTTCAATAGAGACCTGTTTAAGTTTTTGGTGGACTGTTTATATTATTTAATGAACATTATAATGATTGAAGCATTTTGTATTTTTTTACCTCATTTTTACATTCAAAGAGGCTTACATTTTAGTATAATTATTATACTAAAACATGTAACTAAGAAAATCTTCAAACTCATCATAAGTCAGACAAACTACTGTACTTTTTCATTTGACTTGTCAAAGATACCGTGTGTGTTTTGGCATTGTGATGGATAGCATTAAAATGTCAGCATTCTTAGTCTCATTAGTTTCTTCTTAAAGGATTTAAACAATATTTGTCATGATTAAATTCGTGTCTATTTGAATTAAGTGTTGTCAGTTTTTTCCTGATCTGTTTTCTTCTGCCTTTCTATCTCTCTCTTTTCCCTTCGTCCATCAGCCCGTCTGTCTGTGCATCAATCCATCCATCTATTCATCCATTACGGTCATTTGCAACTAAGCGTGAACACCAGACACTAAAACATGTTCTAACTGGTGGCCGAAACGTTGAAGCTAGTCAACCAGAACATGTTGTTTCCTAATGATTCGTTGGATGGTTGGGCGAGCAAATTCCTTCAAGTACTTCAATCTCGAAAGAATCAAAATCGTTTTCTCTCCARTACTTCATGCTTTTGTTTGAAGTAAAGCCTTTTTTTCAAAAATGTGAAGACTACTGAAGGAAATCAGGATCGATCTTTTCTAGAAACTCGCTTATGTCTACTCTTTCGAAGGAATCCATGACCAACACCAACAGATCAACATGCACGCATATTTGAACAAACGTTGCCATCAGGCTGGCACTTTGGCACCAAACCTCAAAGTTCCAGTCGACTAGCTTCAACGTTTCGTCCACCATTAGAACATGTTTTAGTGTCTGTTGTTCATGCTTAGTTGCAAACGACTGTATTAATTCAATCATTTTATTCATTTTTTCAGGTTTTTCCTGATCTGCGTCTCTGGTGTGAAGAAAGAAAACTTCATCTTGTTGAGTGTGATCTTCGATGGGTAAGAAATAAAGCTATGCTGTAACATGTGCCATGTCATCCTCGGGAAGCCACAGGTAAAATTCTGTCTCTCAAAACCAGCAAAAGAATTTTACCTCAGGGTTTCCAAAAATGCTATTCATGTCAGATCCTTTTAGTATACAGCTTTTTCAAAAAAGGTTGAATACTGAATACTGCATATTGCAGAGTGCATTCCAAGTCTGAAGTTCGTTGTGGGTCATAGTGACATTGTCTAAAGTAAGTTTAATAATCATTATATATTCTATTTTTAGTGTATTCCATCTGAAACAATATACTAACTACGTGTAAAGAGTCAATTGCTGTGTATTTACTTTTTATTTCAAATTAACGAGACCTACAATGTCCTTTGGTCTTGGAATGCACTAATCAGTATGCAGTTTTCAGTATTCAACTTTTTTTGAGATAGCTATACATGTAAATAATTATGTTTGAAAATTTTGATAGGTTTTGCCTTAGATACTAAGTTGAAAAAACAAACAGTTAAAAGTTATGATGTTTTGACTTTGTTATGAATGTTGTAACTTTTATGCATTTGTTTTCGTTATAAATATTTGTGAATGAAAAGAAAAATCAACCCAGAGGTTGTTTAAGAGGTCAATAAAACTTAAAAGTTTTAAAAATTAATGATTGCTTATATGATTTTTGCAATTCTAGGGTGTCCCTAAAGATTCGACGACAGAGGAAACAGTACGAATCTRTCTGGAAGAGATAGATCGTTGCTACAGGGATAATGTTATGCCATATTTTTTGAACCTAACTTGGTGAGTAATTGTTATATTGAATTTGTTGAAGGGCTTAAAGAAGCTCTAAAATGGATGAGGATAATGATGATGACTCATGATGGGGATGATAATGATGGTAGGTGATGGTGATAATAATAATTATGTGGACGATACGATGATGATGCTAATGATGCTGATGACAACAATGATGATGATGATGACAATGATGATGTGTAACGATGTGACAATGACGATGATGATAGTAGTGGTGATAATGGCTGTGATGAAGATGATGATGATGTCGATAATGGTAGTAATGGTGATAATGATGCTATAGTGGCCTGGTGATTTTATTGATGATGATGGGTGATGATGGTGATAATATGATTGGTGATGGGTTGATGATGGTGGTACATGTAATGATAAGGATCATGATGATGATTTAGTAATTTACTGTATCAATTGATTCTGATTAACATCCTTCAGTAATCGCTCTGGCTGGATTCCAGACTTTGGAGACTTGACTTATAATCTTGGGGTGCTCTATGGATGGGTGTACGGTCTGTCGTTAACTGAGATGGAGATAGTACATGGTGCATTTCGCAGATGTAATCCTAATGGTGAGAAGTTTCTGTAATTTTCAGATCTAATATTCACCCTAAAGTCCTTTCTATTTTTTTTAATTATCCCATTGAGTTATCCCACTCAACGATCCATCTATTCACCCACCATCCATCCATTCATTTATCATCTATCATCTGTCCACCAATCTATCCATTCACTCACCCACCCATCCATCCATTCATCCATCCATTCATCCATTCATCCATCCATCCATCCATTCATCCATCCTTCCATCCTCATCCATTTATCTATCCAAAGTGCTGATCCAATCTTTCTATTTGTTCATTAACCTGTTTATTCATTTATTTATTCATTTATACATGTCAGTCATTTTGCTTCATTTGTTCAGATTTCAATATTCCATTTCTCATCTTTTCTACAGCTCTTTTTATGATTAGAGATGCTAAATTTTGCGATGTCTTACCCGAGGAAGTCAAATGTGCTTTTGTGGATGAACTGAACAAAACAGAAATATTAAAAAATGTTTTGAAAGAAAAATTTCCAGTAAGTAATAATGACGTGACCATGTTGCAGAGTTACGATGTCCATGTAATGTGAATTGTGTGACTGGCTCTATTATTGAACAAACACTATAATCATGTTTTTCTTGGATGTTCATATAGTATGTTGTTTTTTAATGAAAATTTTCTAATTCACAAGTTTCTAAAACCCTGAAACAACCTCAGGGCTGATCAAAGTCAGGGCACAGCTAAGTCACAGATCGAACCATGAAACAACCTCAGGGCTGATCTAAGTCAGGACACAGCTAAGTCTGACACAGATTGAACCCTGAGTCAGGGCATGGCTAACTCACAGATCAAACCCTGAAAAAAACCTCAGGGCAGATCTAAGTTAGGGCAAGGCTATGTCACGGATTGAACCTTGAAACAACCTCAGGGCTAATCGAAATCAGGGCTTGGCTAAGTCACAGATTGGATTGAAATTTCGGATGCTGAGGTTTTGTGGAGGGAGAAAGGCTGGGCATAAACCTATGAACCAAGGAGCAAGAGGCCCTATGAACTCAACTCACTTATGAAGCTTATTTTAGTCAAGGAATCACACATGAGACCTGGGTTCGAGCCCTGCCCGTCTCGGTGTCGTATGTGAGTAGAGAGTTTTTTGTTGGTTCTTTCCTGCGCTTCGAGGGTTTTTCCTCCGGGTTCTCCGGTTTTTCCTTCCTCTACAAAAATCAACTTCTAAATTCTAATTCGATCTACCGGCTGTCCATCCAGGAATGGTAAATGCATAAGAGTCCAGAGGCAAATGGGCCACCACTACGAACAGCTAATTTCAATCCTAGTGACATTATTTTTACCTTTAATGTATTCTCTACAGTCTCAAAATATTGCACATTATGAAGTGGAATGCGAGCCAAGCAGTTTAGCAAAAGTGGAAAAAACTAACGATGAGAGGGATTTGAAACTGAAGGGTCTGAGTGGAAGTGATTCAGTATTTTACAAAACTGTAAGTATACATGAAGCACTTGTCTGCAAAACCTTCACAATTTATTTTATTAATACTGGAAACAACCTCCAAGCTGATCAAAGACAGTGCATGACTAAATCACAGATCAATTTTGTTTTTCCTCTTTCTAGGTTTTCAACTTTTTCAAGGATCGTATTGCCTATCAATACCCCCTTGACCCGACTCCTGAAGATCCTCTCGAAGCGCAGAGAAGTGCCCATGAGGTAATATGAGGCTAAAAGTACCTATAATAATGATGATGATGATGATGATGTTGGTAATAATTGATGATGATGATGATGGTAATAATTGATGATGATGATGGTGATAATAATATTTATGATAATATTAATAATAATAATATTATTATTATTTATATTATTAATATTGATATTATTCCAGGGCTAAAATTAACAGCTGGTCATCAGGCAATATTCCAGCCAAAATGTCCAGCCAAAATTTGAACTTGTCTCACTGGTCAAATCTTTGCCTTCCYGGCCATTTTGACCAGTAATGTTGAGCCAGAAACACGATATGAATGGCAACTGTTCAGATGTTATTTTAAGCCCTGCCTTGGCAACTAAGCAAATAGAGAAGCTGTTAATAATAACATTCCCATATTCTGTTATGGATCTTCATTATAATGTTTATTTGTCAAGTTCTAGATTTTACTGCTGTCCTCCTTGATTAAAGACTGATTTTCTCAGGGTTAGCTTTGTATCAGTGTCTAAAGGGTCATTATTTAAGTTGAAGTGCATCTTCATGTTTTTCAGATACCCCTTTTCAATCGTTTAAAAAATCCTCCGAATCCTCTGAATCCTCCTTTTGACCTTTCAAGACCCCCTCATGTTCCACTAAAAAAATCGAGGGCCTCCCATTTTCTCCTCTACCCCCCCCCCCCCCCCCCCCCCCCCCCCCCCCCCCCCCCCGACTTAAATAATGACTGGTTCCTAGATATCAACAAATAGCAACACTGAAGTAAAGAATGTGTAGTTCCAGAAAATATTCATATCCGCTCCATGGAGAGAATTTGTAAAAGGACCCCCTACCCTCAGGAACTTCCGATTTTTTTCCATACAAACTCTGTAATTCTGTTCTTTCTCTGACTCCCCTCCCTTCCAAAAGTTCCAATTCCTTTCATAGGTGGGGTATGGATATTTTCTTGAACTACACAATGCATAACCATACAAACACTTCCAACTTCCATGAACCTTCACTGCAACACAGGCCTACCCTGAGCAACAGAGAACTCGATACTGGAGTATTTTCTTACAAGATAGCATCGCAGAAATGTAATTTGGGCTTCCTGTGGCATTTAAACAATTCATGTGTACAACTAACTGTTGTCATATTGTTTTCTTCTGCAGTCATTTGTAGATACACGCTCTGAAGTTGTTTTAGGAAGAGACAAGATCATAGCTGATGTATGTCTAGTTTTCCAAAAAAAAATATTATTGAATGAGGAAAAGGAGGGTCTGAAGAGGCTATTTTGCCAGTGTAGTACCAGAAAATATCCATACCTTCTTCATGTAGCCTGTGAAACAGCTCTCTGGTGCAGCATTGGGATCACCCCTTCTCCCCAACCCCCACACTAGAGGGCCATTTCGCAGGCTATTCCTCATGGAGAGAGATACATGTATCTAAGGGGTGGGGAGAATCTGACAAGGGTATATCGTGAAGTTCCATAAAATATCCATACCTTCCCCATGGAGGGGGAATGAAGTTTCCAAGGGGTTTAATGGGTTTGAGGGTATATTGTGTAAAACTAAACAAATTCCCATACCCCCCCCACCCCAATTGGAATTTCCAAGGGGTTTGGAGGGTCTGAGGAGGGTATATTGTGTAGTTCCAGAGAATATCCATACCTTGGATTGGAATTTCCAAGGGGTGGGAGGGCATAAGAAAAATTTGTATTATGTACATTCTTTGATGTCTTCCTTGTTTCAGATTGAAAGCTACATTGAAACAGACACTACTCAAGCTCCCCTGTTACTAGTGGGAAATGCTGGCTCAGGGAAATCAGCAATTATGGCACGTATCGCAAGTAACACTTTAAGAAACGGAGCAAACAAAARACTCAGATGCCCAATGTAAGTCTTCTTGTCATCTCTTACAATGTATCTTACCCTTCCCCTCTCCCCTGGCCACGCTCCCCCCTCCAGGGAGGTTGGTGCAAATATGCTTCAGCCAATCCACAGGGTACCCAATTTAAATAAAATTGAAAGATGAATACATCCTTGGGATCCCAGGGGTAAAATTGTGTTGCTCTTTTCTCGCTCCCAGAAAAAATACCCCTGGGCACAAAGTCTGTTAGAGCTTGTTCCGGAAGTCTCAATCATTCTTTTTTGCCAATTGGTAGAGCCGCTGGGGTCAACCAATAAGCATCAAGTATTTGTAAACAAACATGTGATAGCATTATTTTGAATTGGGACTTCCGAAAAAAGCTTTAACAGACTTCGTGCCCAGGGGAACTTTTTCTCGGAGCAAGAAACGAGCGACAGAACTTTACCCCTGGGTTCCTGAGGATGAGATGAATATAAAATTGGGGAAAAAAATGTTATCAATAAATATTTTCCTCTATATTTAGATGCTGGCATTTATTTATTTATTCACTCACTCACTCACTCACTCACTCACTCACTCACTCACTCACTCACTCACTCACTCACTCACTGATTCATTTATTTATTCATTTTTGTATTTCTAGACCTACAGAAGGTTGGAAAGTATTCTTCCACTTTGTTGGAGCAACTCCTGGCTCCACAGATCTTGCATTCTTCCTTCAAAGATTAACAAGAGAATTGGGAACATCAAAGGTAAATTGTCACATCATTGACAATCTAGAACAAGCTATAAGAGCACTCTTACCCTTTCTCTAAATTAAGAGGTAAGGGGAAGAGGGATTTTAGTACACGAAAGGAAATTTGAAAAATATTGGTTACTAAGTAATGGGTAGGGACTATTTAGTTCTATTTCTGATTCTGGGGTTCAATCCTCAGGATCTCCTCAACAGGTTCGACTTCTCTATAATCCATGTAGTTTCAGCATAAAATACTCTTAAAACAGAGCACTGATGGAGGGAGGGGGTTAAGTGCGCACCGTCGGCTTCCTGAGAAACCAGTCTTGTAGCTGAAGGAACTACAGACGTTAAATAGAGTCACTTTACCTTTTTTTTAAATTCTATTTTCCATTTCCATTGATCCAAATCCCAATCCTAGTGAAGAACCTTTAGGAAATCCTTCATTCAATCTGTGAGTTTTGTCCTGACTTTGAACAGCCAAGAGATTGTTTCAGGGTTAAAGGATTTCTAGATACCCAAGGATAAATCCTTTACCTTTTTGGTTGAACATTAACCTGTTAATGAATTATCCTTTATTTGTGTTGTTATTGTTTATAGAAAGATGTAGTGAGTGATTTGGACTCCTTGATGCAGATGGCTAATAGTCTTTTGTCAAATGCCAACACCAAACCAGCTATTATAATAGTAGATGCTATAAACCAGGTATGGACTAGATTGCTCTGCTAGACACAGGTCGTTGAGTATGGATAAGTTGATGATGATAATCATCATCATCATCACCATCAATATCATCACTACCACCACACTGGTGACCACCACCATCGCCACTAGCATCATCGCCACCACCATCATCACCACCATCATCATCATCATTGTCATCATCACCATCATCATCACCAACATCATCATTGTCATCATCACCATCATCATCTTCATTACCATCATCATTATTTTTTGGTAGAAAGGAACTTGACCATTTTGCCACAGAGTGCTTGTATCATTAAAAAATGTCAGCTGATTTGTTCTTTTAACATGTAAACCAATCCGGACTTTCTTTTCTAAAATACAAATAGAAAAATAGATAAAGATAAGCCACTCATCATTGGCACAGGAAGCCCAATAGCGCAGCGCAGTCGTGACGTCATAAAAACGAAGACAAAGGCGAAATTCGAACAAACAAACTTACAAGTTTACCAAGATCACCATCATCATCATTGTCATCATCACCATCATCATCACCAACATTATCATTGTCATCATCAACATCATCATCACCATCATCATCATTGTCATCACCATCATCATCGCCATCATCACCATCATCATTACACCCATCATCACCACCATTATCATAATCATCATCATCATTATGTCATCATCTTCATTATCACCATGATCACCACCACCACCATCATCTTCTTCTTTATTCACGTGTCATGTTACTGACTGGCAGTGAATGCACGTTTCCACGTATGTGCCTTTTGTTTCCTTGTCCTTAACAATACAACAACAAAAGCAAATGTAAGATAGATCGTGAGACGTCACTCGTATGTTACGCGCAAACGTTTTTCTTAACCAAGCGTTGATCGGTAGAAATGACCAGATTTTTCCTTACATGGTTTTCAATTATATTTCAGCTTGATGAAGACAAAATCCATTATTTAACCCGCTGGTTGCCCGAGACATTATCCCCCAATGTTAGAGTCATCATGTCAATGATTGATCACACAGAATGTCACAGGATCCTGAGGGCGTACAAATCAGGACCCAAAGAAATACTCTGTGGAGAGCTGGATTATGCATCAAGACAGGTCAGGAGTAGAACTAGTTCAAACCCGATGTGGCAATTTTGTTTTTGATTCTCAGGGAATTTAGTCCAGGTCCTACTGCTGCAACTTGGAAAAATTCAAAAAAACAAAAAAATTTGGAAACATTCCATGCTGATGAAATATTGACTTAAACTTTCTATCATAATTTATAGGCAATTGTAGAAAATATCCTTAAAATTTACAACAAACGCCTGGATGAACACCAGATGGAACTCTTCCTCAAAAAAGAAGGTTCTTCCAACCCATTGTGGTTAACCCTGGCCTGTGAGGAGCTGAGAGTGTTTGGACACTTTAACCAGATGGATGAGAAGATTATGAGTCTGGAGGATGATCTTATCAGGTATAGAGTGAACCAAAATCAACCCTCGCCTCACCCTTGGCACTTACTTGCTTTATAAATAAACAAAGAATATGGACATCAACTAATTAGATGTCTTTAATATACGTTTTCTCTTCAGTCTCGAGGAGCAGTTGTTGATGCGCTTTGAAAAGGAAAATGGGGGACCTGTGGTTATTGCCACCATGTATTTGCTGGAAACGTCACGTCATGGTCTCCTAGAGACAGAGATTTTACAAATGTTGGCCGAAGAACAAAATCTTGTTCCTCCCAAATACGATGAAAAAGTATCTTTAGAAGAGTCGGCTCAAATGAATGGTGTTAGTGCGCCAATAGGTAGGCAAAGTGTTTATACTTCAGTTGGGATTCCTCTGGAGGATTCCACAGCGATCTCATTGCTAGGTTTTTGGTTTTATGAGAATTGAATTTTTCAGTGGGATTTTACTTATATTTTCAATTTTAGACTTCGATATAGAGAACGAGGGAGAAGCTGTTGCCTCCAAACTCCAGAAAGCGGTTGATGAGACTTATGTAGTGAAGAAGGATGAGGACGAGGAAAAGGGAAAGAAGAAAACAACAAAGAARAAAACCAAGAAGTTTCTTTCAGCAGCAAAGTGGGCCCTAGTCTACCGAGCCTTGAAGCCGCTTCTCCGTCCGTGTGGAGACTTGGGCGAGGGTCGGTTGGATTTCTATCATCGCTCTATTAGTAAAGCTGTGAGAAGAAGGTTAGTTAAAATATACATTTCTTAATATATTCAATTAATGGTTTCCTTAACTTGCAATGGGGGGAGGGGTGAGTATGGTATGTATATATTCTTCATTCTCCTTGGTGACTTGAGCTCAGTGGCTGGAAAGCCCATCAACTCCCCCTCTCCCACCCCCACACCCTACTCTATTACCCCTCCATCCCATCCCAAATCCACAAAAACAAAAAGAAACCAAAATAAGAATGAAACCGAAGTCCGAATAAGAATGAATGTTTCCTTGAGTTAAGTATCCTGCTGATTTTCTCTGATATCGCTCTAGATATTTCAGTGGCGCTGAGGGCTACGTCAAGCACCAGTACGCATTCTGGCATGGAAGACATGCAGAGTTTTTTGAAAGTTGCGATGACTACGACAGAAAATCAGAGGTAAACTGTTTCAATGGTTAACTTTATTAAAGTGTTATTCATTAATAATTTGGCGGAAAACGCGTACCATTTGTTTCTACATTTTTTGTGGTTAGCAGTTAGGAAAATGCCTTAGCCAATCGAATTTGTCAATATTTAGAGTAGAGGGCCTTGTTTTATTTTAAGAGCGACTGTCCAGAAATATCGAGCACGGGGCGACCACAGTCAAAAAATAAAAGTCCTTCATTTTTGGTCTGTAGACACTATTAGATGAGTTTATGAACGTACTGGGGTCGGTTTTTCGATCTACGTAAAAAATCCGGATTTTTTTGAAAAAAACGATTTCACCCCGTGTCGGTCTAAAAATTGCTCAAGAAACGGCTGCAAGTGAAAACCCAAGTTACAATCAAATTTACAACTTAATTCAAGAAAAGGGGTGTTGAACAATTGTTCCAGGTGATTTTAGACGTTTTAAACTA